TGCCCATCCTGATGTACATCTTGGAAGCTCAAATGAAATGTCTTTGTGTTCTCCTCTCCCGCTGCAGAGGTGGGCAGGCTAAATTTCTAACAGGTTTTCTTTAAAAATGGATGAACAGCGCCGCCCAGAGCCGCATCCAGTAATTTCAGCTACACAGATAAAACACTATCCTAATTTGCTAGGAAATAAATGTCTTTAATGAATACATATAGCCATGCCCTAAATTTAAAGTTACAAATATATGATATATAGTCAGTCTATATAGCTTTATCAGTTTTCTGCACGTTATTCCGATTTTCTCAAGTTTCGATCTTTTCAAGATGAAACAGAGATGATACATTATTCTCTGTGTGTATTTGTGTACCTGATTTAGTTTCTGGAATGTGCTTTTGTATTTTTGCTACCATATACAAGACAATACCTTATGGTTTTTCACCCAGTAAAAAAAGGTAAGGGTTCCCTTGCTCGAAAGCCAGTCGAATCCGACTCTAGGGTTGCGGTGCTCATCTCCGTTTCAAAGCCGAAGAGCCAGCGCTGTCCAAAGATGTTTCCGTGGTCATGTGGCCGGCATGACTAAACACCAAGGATGTATAGTCAGTCTATATAGCTTTATCAGTTTTCTGCACTATGTTATTCCGATTTCTCGAGTTTCGATCTTTTCAAGATGAAACAGAGATGATACATTATTCTCTGTGTGTATTTGTGTACATGATTTAGTTTCTGGAATGTGCTTTTGTGTTTTTGCTACCATATACAATAAAATACCTTATGGTTTTTCACCCAGTAGGAATCCTTAATAAAACATTTGCTGAAACCTAAAAAGTGATGACTGCTCCTCCATGTGTGCACAGGGGCTTTTTGCTTCCAGTGACAGCTCCCCATGTATCCCCCCAGAGCACCACAATGCAAGAAGGAAATGCCCCCCCCCCAAAAAAAATGTTCTCAGCCCATGCAAGTGGTACAGGGCATAGGAGCAAGCCAATGTCTTCAGGCTCCTTCCATTTCATGAATGATTACTGTTGGCAGTCTAAACAGAAGAATTTCCCTTGTCCATTCCTCTGGCTTCTCAAGCAATGTTTGAAGTATTTCAAAGTTGTGTTTTAATGACAGAGATCCATGTCCACCCCTGCTCATAAATAGCCTCAGGCATCGTTAGCATGAAATTCACACTGTGAAGGGGGAGGCACTAAGCAATTCCTCTAATGCCTGTACAGATGTGCTCTGGTAAAGGGAAGGTTCTTCCCTGTTCACCACTGGGTTGTTACTCAGCATGCAGGCTATAAGACGAGGAGAGGGAGAATAAGGGCAGCTGGGATGAATTGTAGGAGGTGGTGACCATGACTCTCATATGTCCAGCAGAAGGAATGGTCACATAGTAAGGACCTAAGGAAAATTATTGGCCTCTGGGGTAGCCAATCAGCTTGAGGTGGCCATCCCCAGTATTTGAGTTTGAAGATGCACAACCTCAGCTTGCCTGGACTGTTTTATAATTAGCCTCATGCAGGGCTTGAATCAGGGACCACATGCATGTTCTACAGCATCAGGTCTATCTCTGCTGTCTTATCTGCTCTGGTATATATGGTTGGTATTGACAGCACCAGTGGAGGGTTCCAAATGCCACATGGTGGGTTTCTTTCTTCTGTGCCCAGGTGGGTGTCTGGTTAATGTTCCAGGGAATGTGGGTTCTAGTTCTGCCTCTTCTATCTTTTTTGCTACTGCACAATTTGTTGCTGGTGAAAATGAGAGCTTTGCCTTATTCCCAACTTCCTCCTTGGTAGAATTCAACCTTCCCTGCTGTTTCCAATGATTGCTTTTCCCTAAATGAGTTATGGCAGTGACAACAGGACAGCCTTTTGTGAATGTTCTGTTGTGTGTTCTCTCAATGTTGTCCTAGTGATCTGGTACGAGCTGTGGAAATGCATGCCTCTCTCAGCAAAGGCACCACTAAGAGGAGCTGTTGAATCATGAAATATTGGTGTCTGGGTTCATAAATGGAGAAGTAGTCCTTTAGATATGCAGAACTCAGGCCATTAAGATCTTTAAAGATAAGCACCAGCACCTTCAGTTGAACCCAGAAGCATACTAGGTAGGCAATGCACTTGTTTTCTATATAGGAATGATATGTGCATAGTAACTAGGCTCTATCAGTAGAGAGGCTGCCACATTGTTCTCAACTGAAGCTTCTGATTTGTCTTCAATGGTAGCCCCACAGAGTATGTTACAGTAATCTAGCCTAAAGCTTATGGAAGCACGGTTCAGTGTAGCCAGATCAGATAAGCCAAGAAGGGAGGATAATCTTTGGATAAGATGAAGAAGGCAATCCAAGCAACTGAGCCAGCCTGCTCATTCATCTTCAGGGTTGGAGCATCATGAAAAATTTCACCTGTCAGCCAAAGCCAGCTGAACTCCCATGGGTAAGTTAATTCCATTCAAAATATTAGCTTTCTCAGCCAATATTACCTATGTCTTGTTTGGTCTGAATTTCAGATTGTTCACTCTAATCCAGTTGACCATGGGTTTAAGAACTGGCCTAAGGCTGAGACTGCTGCTTCTGGGGGCTTAGTTAATGACAGGTATAGAACAGCGTTGTCAGCATACTGATGACACCCAGTCACACAGCTACTGAGGATGTAATACGGATGTTAAGGAGCACTGGTGAAAAAAACAGAACTATGCAGGATACCAAACATGTGTACATTAGACAAAAAATCCACCCAACCCACTGGATAGCAGTCCCACTAACTTCTACCTTCTTTCCAAGACAGTTCGGTAATGGCTTGAAGTATTAGACATCACAATAGATCTATGATAATTGAGAGGCTATCCATTTGTAATCAATCATCCACCAAAGAAACCAACACCATCCAGGTCCCACAGCCAGGCTTGAAATCCAGCCAAGAGTGGTCAACGACAGATAAATCATTCAAATATCCCTCTGCCACCACCCACACGAGCAGCTTGTCTAAAACTCCTAATTAAAAATAAGTATATAATTAAAGATAAATATATTATTTGTAAGATCTTCCTTTGCCACAGTTGTGCTTCCCCCCCAAAAAAGGAAATCTAACAACATATTCCAAACTACTCAGAAAATTATCTTCAAATAAAGGAAAAAATAATAATTCTGGCTAACAACACTGTCAGACTATCTCTGCGACATTTAACCAGCCAAGATAAGCATGAATCTAATTTGAATGTGGTGGCCAAGAACCCTGTCTACATCAGCCAGGGAGATCAGTTCCAAAACTATCCACAGAAAATGACAAGCACATGCTTCAGATATATGGACAAATCCAGACCAGCAATAACCCAACTGCCAACTGTTCTGGAACTATTGTAAAAGAACCTCACAACATCAAAAACTAATTCCTTTACCTCTACTTTGACCTTATCCATTGGTTATCAATAATTACATTCAGTTTCAATTCCCACTGCCTGTGTAGTTGTATAGATGAGCAGAAAATTGAAAACACAGATAAAGCCCTCATTTTCTCTCTGAAGCGACTGCAGAGTGGCTGCCATTTGGCAGCATGATATTGTAGATGCATGGCTAAGCCTTGGGTAATGTGCAAATCACCCCAAAACATCCCCAAAACATCCATTATTCTGAACCAATTTAAGCACTTCCACAGCTCAGATTTCATGGATAGGTTTACTCTACAAGTCTTAACAAATTCAATTTTATATTCTTTGCATCAGTTTAATCAGACTTAACTGTAGAGAATGAAACTCACCTGTTCAGAGTTCTGTAGTTCTTTAGCAGTGCTTGAATCCTCCAATGATAATAAAGGACCTGATTTATCAGACGTTTGCTGGGGTGCAAGAGTACTTGTACAACTTCCAATGGGGAAAAGAATTTGGCTCTTCCGCGAGCAGGTGGTCAGTGAACCATTATGGCAATAAGAATGCAAAAAAGCTCTTACTCCATCAATGCCCACAAACTGTGAAACAGGGACTCCATTGAAATTCACACTTTGAGAGTCACACAGCTGAGATGTTCTCCACCTGTGCAACCTGATGGCCAGCAACACAAGGAGGAAAGTGAAAAACAAGCAGGAGACAAAAGCCACAGCAACTACTAGGTAGAAAGTGAGGTCCGACTCTGGGTCTGCTGTAGCTGACACACTGCTCAGGTCAGTCAATATATCAGGGATGCTGTCGGCCAGCACCACAGTGACCATGACTGAGGCAGACAGAGGGGGCTGCCCATTGTCCTTCACTAAAACCACCAGGCTTTGCTTGAGAGCATCTTTGTCCAGAAAGAAACGGGCTGTCCTGATCTCTCCAGTGTGGAGCCCTATGGAGAAGAGCCCTGGCTCCGTGGCCTTGAGTAGCTGATAGGAGAGCCAGGCATTCTGGCCAGAGTCTGCATCTACTGCCACCACTTTAGTGACCAGATATGCAGGCTCAGAAGAGTGAGGAGCCAGCTCTACTCCAGTGGAGCCATCAGTGGGGTTAGAAGGGTACAAGATCTGGGGGGCATTGTCATTCTGATCTAAAATTAAGAGAGTCACAGAGACATTGGAACTGAGTGCTGGGGAACCTCCATCTTGGGCCTTGACCTGGAATTTAATCTCTCTGAACTCTTCATAATCAAAAGAGCTCAAGGCATAGACAGCCCCCGTCTCAGAGTTAATAGAAAGATGAGAGGAAAGCAAGGCGTCTCCAATGTTCGTGTCAATGATGGAATACATTATTCTGCCATTTTCTTCAAAATCAGGGTCATTTGCCTTTAAAGTCAAAATCAAATCACCTCTTTGGTTATTCTCTGCAATCTGAAAAGTGAGGTCTGTAGTTTGAAAAATGGGTGGGTTGTCATTTTCATCCAAAATTTCTAATGGGAAGTATGCTGTTGCTGATAGAGAAGGTGTCCCTTGGTCTGTTACTGTGATTGTGATATTGTATTCTGAAACTTTCTCCCTGTCCAGGCCTTGATCTGTTTCTAGACTATAATAATTATCGAAGGTTTTCCTCAACAGAAATGGAAGGGTTGCTGGTATGGAGCATATGACCTCTCCATTTCTCTCATCATCTCTGTCATTTATATTTATCAGGGCTATCACACTTCCTGGAGGAGAACTTTCTAGAACCTTGCTGAAAAGTGGAGTAATTGTGATCTCTGGTGCATTATCATTTGCATCCAAGATTCTTATTACCACTTTGACACGAGTAGACAACCCAGCCCCATCTTGGGCTTGTACTTCCATTTCATATAATTTAGAATCTTCAAAGTCCAGATTCCCGATGACTGATATTTGTCCAGTAGAAGAATCCAAGTGGAATATTTTTGAAGTTTTGTCTGAACTTTTTCTAAATAAATACTTTATTTTTGAATTTATTCCCTCATCGACATCAGTGGCATTCAGAGTTAGAACTTGAGACCCTTTGGGGATATTTTCCATAACACTTGCTTCATACAGAGACTTACTAAAAACAGGAGCATTATCATTTACATCTGTAACAGCAATACGGATTTGCACAGTACCTGACCTGATGGGATCTCCTTTGTCGGCTGCAGTGAGAATAAGGTGATACATTTTCTGTTCTTCTCGATCCAATAATGTTTCAAGGACCAGCTCTGCATATTTGACTCCATCAACTCCCATTTGTACATCCAAAGAGAAGTGCTTGTTCTTACTGAGATGGTAGCTCTGGAGAGAATTAGTCCCTAGATCTGGGTCTTCAGCTTCTGGTAAAAGAAACCTTGCACCGGGGCCTGTATTTTCAGCAATTTTAAACTCCAGATCATCTACAGGGAAACTGGGTGAATTGTCATTAATATCGGTTATTTCAACTTCAATGGTGAAAAACTTCATCTTGTCCTTGACAAGAATCTCAACATTTAACAGACATTTCTCCATCTGGTGGCAAATCTGTTCCCTATCAATCACTTCATTAACAAACAAATGGCCATTTCGTAAATCAAGGTCAAAATATTGGTTCATACCTCTGGATATTATCTGGACTTCGCTGCTTGGCAGCTCCTTTATGTTCAGTGCGAGATCCTTTGCAAGATCTCCAATAAAAGAGCCTTTCTCCATTTCCTCAGGAATTAAATAATGGATCTGCCCAGAAGATGCTTCCCAGACACTGACCAGGATGAAGCAAAGCAGAATTCTCTTTTGATAGTGAAGTCTCCTTCCAGCCATTTCTGGATAACCAGTGTCAGATTGCAGTATTCAATGTCTTCTTCTGTAGAAGTGCTACAAAGATCTCCCAAACCTTACTGAATTATACTGTTTGCAGATGCAGACACAGTGGAGTGTGAGTCTGAGCTTCGAGTATTCTCTCTTAAATGAGAGAAGACCGGAGCTGACTAGTATTTGTAGTTCTTCTTATGAGCAAACAGCGACACTCAGAGTTTTAACCCAGAATTGCACCAACTGCTTCCTGCAGGTTTTCCCACCCAATAAAACACATACTTCAAGGAGAGATAAGTTCAATTATAAAATATCTGTCTTTATACTGAAACTATGGTAAATACTATCTTGTTTTGTGTTCTGACTTATTTTAAAATGTTAAGGTCACATTATGGAAGAACAACCTAATATTTTATTAAAATGTTTCTGACAAGAAGGAAGAGGAGGAGGAGGAGGAGATTGGATTTAAACCCTGCCCTTCACTCGGAGTCTCAGAGCAGTTTACAAACTCCTTTCCCTTCCCCTCCCCACAACAGACACCCTGTGAGGTAGGTGGGGCTGAGAGAGCTCTTTCAAGAACTGCTCTTTCAAGAACAGCTCTCGTCAGAATTATGGCTTGCCCAAGGTCATCCAGCAGCTGCAAGTGGAGGAGTGGGGAATCAAACCTGGTTCTCCCAGATTAGAGTCCGCACACTTAACCACTACACCAAACTGGTGTAAATAAATGCTGAATAGAACGTATAAGGATATTGTTTTGTAGTACCAGCCATTTAATAAGAAATCATTGGGGTGGGGGGACTTTAATTTTTAAATAAAAGCTACAAGGCACACGTTTCTTTAGCATTTTTAAAATTAAACCAGCCATGCCTTTTTTTAAAAATCCACAAATAGAACTAGCTTTGCATTCCATAAATGTTATAAAAACACTTCCTAAACAAACAGTAAATCCTATCCATTTCATTAAAAACAAATTTCACTACATTTCCCCACAAGAATTTGAATGCTCACCATATAAAGGGTGAATAGCATAGGGTCTCACAATTGCTTCTGTGCAATGTAAATAACTCAGAACTCAATACAGACAACTCTTTGAGAATAAGAATTATTCCAACGATACAGCTGAAGAATTATACAGTTTGTTGGGGGTAAGGAAGGATTAGAGGTGGTACTCATTTGTAATCCAGCTGCCTGGAATTATAATTTGTAGTAAATCATGTGGTTATGTAAAAGGCTTCTTGAAATGCAACAAGATTTCTAAATGGAAAGCATTTATTTGCAGAAAATAATATGCAACCTGCCCATATGACAGTAATTCACAAATATTTATTTAAAACATTTTTTGGCTGCCTTTCTACCTAAATGGAGTCCCCAGTATTATGTTGCAGGCAGGTATGCTGAGAAGCTGTCAGCCAGCATGGTGTACTGGTTAGTGTCAAACTAGGATCAGGGGAATCCAGGTTTGAGATCCCACTTGTGCTATGGAAGTGCGTCAGTCACACACTCTTAGCCTAACGTACCTCACAGGGTTGTTGTGAGGGTACAACAGAGGAGAGGAGAATGATGTAAGCTGCTTTGCATCCCCACTGGGGTGAAAGGCAGGATATAAATAAATAATAAATAAGATAAACTGTGGCTTCCCAGCATGAGTGCATG